GTCATCTAATGTGCAACGCTCCCACTACTGTTGTTTCATCTAAAGTGGCACATGATTAAACTCAAGAAGATGTGTGTAAAGTAAACACATCATCCACCTCCTACACGCATCTGTCCACTTCCTGTCTTCCCACACCACCCGCGTTGTCAACTACATTGATGTGTTTTGAACACTCTGTCACTGTCCCACTTAATTTGTGTTAGAGCAACTCCAACGCGTCGATCCAAACGATTTTTTTTGTCCATTTGGATCGGCGTGTCCATCCCTTCTGTGTTTGGGTCGGCATTGCGCCCAACACGCGAACGCATTTTCGCCCTCACCGCCCGTTTGCGGCCATTTTTTAACTTTTTTGGTGACATATAAAAAATAGGCCCAAATTCACATAATTCAAACAAAGTATAAATATCTCATAGTTTCACAACCAAATAAATATCTCATAGTTTACAAGTCAAATAAAAATATTGTCTCAAATACATTTGAAAGAAAAAATAGACGGTACATCTATTGGTTACCAACGTGAGCCACATGTGCCCAACCAAATCATCTTGTAGTTGAATGTGAGTTTCCCAATTACGCATTTGATGATGAAATTCGGTGAACTATGCAAGCGTTGTCGCTCCTCCATGCTCAAACACAACATTGTCACCCTGAAACTGAAGTCATTAATCGTAGATTTCATCCGGACACTCATCCTCTACAATCATGTTGTGCATAATTACACAAGCAGTCATTACCTCCCACAACTTCTTGGTGCTCCAAGTTCTAGAAGGATACCGATGCCCCACCGACATTGAAGAACACCAAAGTCACGCTCCACATCCTTTCTAGCACTCTCTTGTGCTTGGGCAAATCTCTTCCTCTTCTCTCCTACAGGTTTAGGGATTGTCTTCACAAGAGTAGTCCACTGAGAATAGATATCGTCAGCTAGATAGTATCATTTGTTGTAGTGGTGGCCATTGATCTCAACATTGACCTCCGAGAAGTTGCCTTCTACAAGCCTTGCAAAGACCAGAGAGCGCTGAAGCACATTGATGTTCTTGTGAGATCCGGCCATGCCGAAGAAAGAGTGCCAAATCCAGGGATCTTGTAAAGCCACAGCCTCAAGTATGACAGTGCAAGCTTTGGCATGGCCCCTATACTGCCCCTGCCAAGTAGAAGGGTAGTTCTTCTGCTCGTAGTTCATACAATCTATACTACCAAGCATCCTCGGAAAGCCCTTACTCGCATTGATCGCCAACAACCAGGTTGTATCTGTAGCAGTTGGCTCTCCCAAGTACTCCAGGCCAAACACTTCTACCACATCCTTGCAGAACTTGCACATGGAGTTTGGCACGTGGACTTGCTCATTTGGATATACTCATCAATGAGATCACCGGGTACTCCGTATGCAAGCATCCGAATAGCTGTAGTGTATTTTTAATAAGAGGAGAAGCCAATTTTTCCCAGGGCATCCTACTTGCACTCGAAATAGTTACAGTACGCCACCACCCCCTCCCAGATACGGTTGAAAACATGTCCAGCCATCCGGAAACGGCGCCGGAATAGGTGGTGTTTGAAGAGCGGGTTAGGGGACTCGAAGAAGTCCTGCCAGAGTAGGCAATGGCCGCTCCTCGGCTGCGATTCAACGTCGGAGTATGCCCCGGGATCGAGCCCCTGAACATCGGTCGCTGCCTACTAATGTGGTCATGGACGACCAAAGCAACATCCACAATCTGCTCATCGTCAGATGAAGAATCATTCGAATCGCCGAAGTCCATTTGTACCTTGCGAGCAAACCGTTGAACACCTTGTGGGCGTTGTGGAAGAAGCCAGCCGCTGAAGAGTCTCGCGCCTCTCCAAGACCAGGTAGCAGGCCTGTCGGCATGGTGCGAATATGGCAGCGTCCGACGAGCGAGGTAGCTGCGCTTGTGTGATGCTGGCAGGGGAGGCGAGGGGTAGTGGTGTCCACGTCAGGTTGCTGCGACGGCGGCGAAAACGATCCACCAAACGCCAGAGTATGGGGCCGTCGAGGGGTGGCGTGCTGCTGAGGGAGGTATGTGGGTGCAGGCGGCCGGCATCGGGCACCGGAACTGGGCGGCGGCGACGACGGATGGGGCGGCCCGGTGTGCTGGCTGTCGATGGGAGGAAGGGGGGAATGGCCAATATGCCACCGGCTGACAGGCCAGGGGGTGACAAGGGCGGGCATGGCGCGCGTCCGCTGCGTGTTTGCGCCGACACAAACGCGGCTCAAAATGGGTCAGGCGCAGACAAAAAGCGGACACTGGTCCGTTTGCGTCGACGCGTTGGGCTGACTTTTGTGTCTGTTTCAACCCAAACGAATCCGTGCGGGCAGTTTGGGTCGGCGCGTTGGAGTTGTTCCTATGCTTTGTGCAATGCAATATGTATGTCAAACTGTCAATGATGGTGATGGGCCTTGTGGAACATAAAAGTTCATACTTTTTGAAAGTTGGAGACGTAGGTTTTCATGAAGTTCCCGCTAATAGGTACCTGCGCAAGATGGATCAAACTCAACTGTTCCCATAAGGATCCTTCGTACTCTGTCCTCTTGGCCAGCCGGGAGAGCGGATCTGCTTTACCACTGAACTCGTTGCATCGATCATTTCTCTGGGACGCGACAAGACACTGAGCGAAACAACACTGAAATTTAATAAGGAGTAGTGCTGGAAATTGACAAACCAACTGAAGACCGAACCAAGTGAGTACATAGCATATAGCATAGCATGTCTTCCTCTCCTCTCCTACCTTGAGACAAGTAACAAAACATGCATATTATTGTACAGTACATAAAAAGCAAAAGATCACAGTGAAGGATTCCAGACTTCAGAGAATTCGACTTCAAAACCAACCTATTAGAATATATAGCACCTCATCTTGCCGCCGAGGATTTCAGACATGAACACGTTCGTACGCAGCACACATCCTCTCCTGAGAAGAAGAAAAAAAAAACGGAAGGAAACATTGACGAGTGAACTAACAATGGCATACCAGCTAGGATATGGTATCATCATCTGGTCCGTCCCTCTCCATCGTGGTCGTGGTCGCAGCTTCACCTGTAGATCTCTGCGTTGGAAGGGCTGCGCACGCACACCTTGGCGTACCTGTGGCAGGCCGCGCAGTGGAGGTGCCACGTGCCCACGGACACCGTCGACGACGCGAACCGCGCGCCGCAGTGCACGCACTGCGCCGGGCACGGGAACCTCCTGCTGTTCCCGCTCCCCTGGCGCCGCGGCGGCGTGTGCGTGTCCGTGCCGGACCCCTCGTCCTTGGGCGTGTGGGCGGCGGAGGCTGCCGGTGGCGGTGGTCCGCTGTGGGTGCCGGGCTTCGCGTCAGACGCCGGCGCGTGACGCGTCGTGTCCGCGCTGGCTCTCTCGGCCTTGGTTGCGTGGGCGGCTGGTGGCGGTGGCCGGCTGTGAGACGTGTCTCCGGCGCCGGCTCGCCGCCTGTCGTCGTCCCTGGGCGCGTTGTTGGCGGCGGGCGGCGGTGGTCGGGTGTGGTTGCTAGGCTTCGCGGCAGGAGCGGGAGGTGGTGGCGGGCGGGGTCGCGGCGACGGCGTCGGGGCAGAGCGCGGCCTGGTGACTCCCGTGGCGCTGGCCGACCGAGAGCGCCCCCCACGCCTGCTGGAGCAGCTTGAACGCGCCGTCGGCGGCGGCGGAGCGGTTCTTGTCGGGGTGAAGAACGAGGCAGAGCCGGCGGTACCGCCGCTTGACGTCCTCGTGCGAGACGCCGACGCCGCCGCTCGGCAGCGACGTCCGGGCGCCGACGCTGAGGACGGCGTACCAGTTCCTGCCGCTGGCGCGGGAGACGGCCGCGGCGACGTGGACCTCGTAGGCGGCGAGGGCGTGCGCGAGCCCCTGGAGCGCCCGGCAGCGCGCCTGGGCCTCCCGCGCCGCCCGGAGCGCCCCGGCCACGTCGCCGACGAGGAAGCGCTGCTCGGCGAGCCTGTGAAGCCTCTCCGCCGCGTCCACCGCGTTGCCGCCGCTGCTCCTTCCGCCGGGCGCCATGGGATCGAAACCAAACATGTACTGTACGGAACTACGGACGTTACGCTGTGTCCATGGGGCAGCGCCCACCATATATGGAGTCCCGGAGCTCCGAATCCGATTCATATGTGAAGCTGAGGTACGAGGAAACAAATCTAATTTAATCCACGTCACTTACAAGATAGAGACCTCTTTAGTTTTAAAAAAATCATAGGAATTCAGAGGAATCCATTCCGTAGGAATTTCTCTATAAATTTGGTTTAGTTTGTAGGAATGAAAACCATATGAATCTTCCCTATAGTTTAGTTTGCATACAATTTCAAAGAAATTTTGCATCTGAGTACAACCTCATGGATATTTTCCTTTGTTTCTATTACCTTCGTTCGAAAATAACTGACGTGGTTTTAGTAACAGAGGGAATAGGAGTATATAACAACTATGGCATGCACCTAATCCTTCAGAAAATCTCCTACATTTTTCCTATATATAATCAAACAACTTGTACTACAAATTCATGTATTTTTCAATTCATGTAGGATTTAACATGGCATGGTATCTCAATTCTAAGTTTTTTTTATATATCTATACATTTTTAGAATCATGTGAATCAAAGACACCCCAAGTCCCTAACACATTCATAGAAAGTGAGGCAAAGATAGTTTCCATATTTCACCTCAGCTTCTCACCATTATATTTTTCATATCCTTGCAAGAGAATTATATTTTTTTTTTCAGAGCACAACAGCATGGTACTGTGTTAAAGTCGATAGTGCATACACTGGTGTGATGCTTGTTGAGCACATGAGCACTATATATGTTGAGGCCGTGTCCTTTCGACATGAACACCTTCCAGTGTATCGTGGAAGATACACATGCGTTATTCTTGAAAGAGAAAACAGGCTATCGGGATTCGATCCGGTGCTGGATGCTCCCGTTGTCATCTGTCTTCATTGCAGTTCGCCGACTGGAGCTTCGTTGAGCCACAGGAAATGGATGAAATCGTAGAGCTGGGCGCTCACGCTCACCTGATCAAGAGGCGCGCAGAGCGCGTGTGCATGGTGAGATTGAGATGCAAGGGGATCAGATAAGTGACATCAAGCTTAACAGTAATTGATCGAACCTTGTATGGTGTTGGATTTAACTTCCTCAGATGGTCCGGCCTCATCCGTTCCAGCTGACGCATGCACCGACTCCTGTTCTCATTGAGGGATGGCAGCTCCTCCCTTTGTACGGCTTCGGCATTGACAAGAGGATAAAGATTGGGATCAATGTCCTTTTCAACTTGAGACACACAAGTTATGATTTATGACGTATACATTCAGATGGACCAGATTCAGTAGAAGCTACTCGAGTGGATACACATACATGAATGTCCAGGCCAGTAGCACTTCAACAACTCCTCGACATGCTGTGGAACAACATGAGCTCTCTTTGACTCGATGAAAGGGTGACGACACAGAATCCTCTCACCAACCTATCAAGGAATGCAATAATGATCAAGCCCACGAACATATAAATATCTGCTAACTAATTATAAGTAAATGTTTGGTAGCAGAGTTCTTAAGTGGACACATTATTTGATGCAGGCTTACTGCTCAAACGACATGAATATTGTTTACCTTTGGGCTTGGCTCGTCTTGTCCGGTCATTATATCAACTAAAGGATAACCTTCTTTTCCATACAATCTGTAGCATCGTTTTTTACATGGTATCGATACCTGGAGCACAGACCTACAAATTATTCATTCTGGTACACCAGAGGTTGCTAAAGCTATATCTTTTCACTTTGAATACTAGTAATGGGTACTAACATATATACCTTTGTGACATCTTCAGAGAGTTTAATACGAGGCTGTTTGTTAATTTCAACTAACTTGAATACACAACCAAGTGCTGCTTGTGCATAGCAGGTAACTAGGTAGGTGCCAATGCCAAATGAGTCTACCTCATGACCCTAAACAAAAAGTCAATAGTCATTCACCAAGCCATCTACCATGGTGAAGGCAGAAAAACAGATGTCTTTGAGCAGAGCAGATGTCTTCCATCAAATTCACAGGCATGTTAAGCGCTGGATTTCAATACAGCAAAAGTTTCATTCAGCAGATGATAGACTGATACCAAGTATTTTGAAGCAAACCTTAAACTTTGTAGTAAGTTGTCAATTGTCAGGACCAGCTGGGTAAGTTTTCTCTTAATATTTATCTAAAATTAGTTTTACAATTCTGGGCATACTTTTTACTCACTTTCATGGTTAATTAAAACCAACAAAGACTATCAGATGGCAAAACCACCAAATGACCAAAACCATTAACAAGTAGCAACCATCTGAATGTAAAATTGTTGAAAAGCTTTCAAGGTATTTCACTAGATAAATATAGAAACTTAATAATAGCTCGAAAGGTGTGGTATGCAGCAAACTATCTGGACTTCTAGAGTACAGCTTACCTGCTTGTTCAATGCATCAATTGTTTCCTCATTGAGATCATTGCTTGCTGTAATATTCGTTTTTCCAAAGCCAACAACCCCAAATTCTTTTTCAATTGCACAGAAGAACTTGCGTGTCTCAATAGACAGATATGCTAAATCACCAGAGTCTAACCTAATTCCAACTGCCTTATACCTGAAACGAAAAGTTTTCATTAATGCTTAACAACTAAGGTTTATGAATCAACAATAGATCCAAATTTCAGCTCAAATACGTAAGTGTGATAAGGAAGTCGAATATAGTCACTAGCCAGACCTGTCAACTAAATCCATCCCTTCTTTTAAATCATTTGTTGTTCAAACAGCAGCTAACATGTTGCAGGCAGATCTTACTCCTAAAGTTCAGCAAGGGATGTAATTAAATTCCTAAAGTTCAGCAAGGGATGTAATTAAATTCCTAAAGTAACCAAAAAATGCAATCAAGAAACCTAAATTTCTAAAGCAAAGGGATGAGGCAGTATAACCAGTTGGTGTTTCTGCTTATGCTCAAGATGCTTGTTCAAAATAGATGAGAGACTTGATAATAATTAATGTTACATATCACAACAAGGGTGCATGGTTGGTATCAAATGTCTACGCTGTGAGGTCTAGGATCAACAAGTTAGGCATCAGTGACCCATTAGGTATGAAAAATAAAGCTAGTCCAAGCATATGAATTCAAACATGCAACTTTTATGTATAATAATGGAAGAAAAACTCAAAATAAACAAACTATGCGTATGTAGAAACTAGAAAGTATCTGAAAAGTATTAGCAAGGAAACACACCCAGGAGAAAGCTTCATTTTATTTTGTGTTATCATCAGCTATAACTTCACATGTAACAGAAGCAAGTTGGGCAAATAAGAAGAAAATACTAAAATATAAAGAAGTGGTGAGGCAATAGTACCCCATATCATTGAGAGCTAAAGCAACAGCGCAGAAGTTTGGCACTCCACTTCTCATGACCTAGCAACGATACATACTTAAACATCAACCATGCCCATATATAACCTGAGTTAATGCATTAGTTCTGTCAAGGTCAGTCCTGAAATAACTAGAGTTGTTAAAGTCAAGGGGACACATTTTCAAAAAAGGAAAATTATAGGGGAGGCCCCTACAGTAGCACATTTTAAATTTGCTTGGATAATAATTTAAAACAGTTACATGAACAGAAGATTCAACATATATGGGCTAGATATACATATTTTAATCCATAACCAGAAAAGAAGGAACATACAGAAACAAGTCAGTTTAAGCATGTCACTGAAAACATGTTTTAAGTAATGCCGTAGAAATCTGTAAGGCCATGCCGTGAACATACAGAAACAAGTCGGTTTAAGCAAGTCAGCTTAAAAAAAAACTCCTGAACAGATGAATATGTAGGCCATGCCGTAGAAAGCAAGTACACTAATGCAGAGCAAGATTAACTAACATCGTATGTGTCCACCAGGGCCAGGAAGGAGTTTGGAAATGCCAGTGCATATGATGTGAATGCAGCCAACTCACTTTGATTTGTCTCGCCAAAGGAACCACGCAATGAACTAGCATCCTGAAAAGAAGAATGTAAGGACAGATCTTGAATACTTGAACATAAATTACTAGCCATAAGTTCTATAGAAACAAGTTACAGAGGAATTATGTAGCAACTTGCAAGTAAGAGAACCTTCATGGATAAGTACAATATTTCTGATATGTAATCTGTATAATTTAAACTGTAAAGCCACGTTGTTATGCTTAATAGTTTGCAGGTGGTACTTTGACAACTAGTCACCTCAACTTCAACTGTACCTCTTAATCTCTTATTCTAATAGGCCAGATAAGATGACAAGAATTGTATCAAGTTTGTTCACTAAAAAAGCATTTAAATAGGTACAGCCAATCACAAGCATCAAACAATGTTTAAATTATCAAGAGGAAAAGTCTATATAAAACTTCAGTAACATGAGCAAAGGGATTAACAAAATAACTGGTATTTTATCACACCTGAATCTTAACCAGCCAATTCTGCACTAGAGAGACAAAGTCTTCACATTTGTTCGAACCATCAGAGCTAGACAGTGCTTTGTCAATGATTTCATCAAGACCCTACAGTCAACAAATACATTAGCAAAGAAGACCCCTGGTATAAAAGAGATTTAGTTCTCACCGGTAAAAAAATTGACGAAATTCAGGATCAAACAAATTTAATGAAAGTTGCAAGGTTCATGATGTAAAACATATATTGCATCTTGTACATTTACCTCATGGGTTTCTCTTTTAAATGGTCAGATCTATTGTGTCTTAACTGGGTGAAAATTAAGTGACTTAGATTTTTGCTCGTACTAGCCAGTAGCCAGATGCTATTATTAACTACTCCCTCTGTCCCATATTAGTTGTCGCTCAAACAGATGTATCTAGCACTGAAATACGTCTACATTTATTTCAGCAACAACTAATATGGAACGGAGGGAGTATTTAATAATCATACGCTTAGCTTTGCTCACCAAATATATATACTTTTTTCACTATTTGCATTTGAATATCAATGTGACAATGTCAAAGGGATTGACTAATATCAACAGATTGATGAATGATTTATATTCATCTATGTATTCAATACAAGTGCAACTGGTTAGGAAATTTTGGCCCAACTGCATACTCTATATCTGGATGGATCCTTCCTCAAAGTATGAAATAGTTGGTCCAAACTGGAATTGCGCAAGATGAAAAGAGGGGAACTAGAGAAAGAAGCAAGCTTGTGCTAGATGAACGGCAATAAACACAATCCATGTCGGATACATTCTGGAGAACATCAAGCTTATCCATGAAGAATTATTAGAACATGGCATATGTTTCTTTCCTGGACAGGAATGGTATTTCAACTATTAAACAACAAAGTTGAAGCAAGTCCCAAACACCAGCAAATTTATTCATAAGCATAGCAAGACCTGAAAGTAACTACTAACCAGGAAAGAGCTCACAAATGCATGTGAGTGAGTCCCACGTATTGGTATCCCAAACAACCTTCCTGCTGCAACATTGCTGCCCGGGTAGGAATGTCAGATTATTGCTTATTATGATGAATGTCTGTTTGGATAAGCATTGTACGGCCTTCGGTATAACTTCAAGTTGGTTCACATGTTCAAGTATTGAGTAAGAATATTTATCATCTAATGATGACTTAACATAGTTTTAAAACTATATAGTCCAGTTCAAGAAACCATGTGATCCTAATCTAGAGAGTTAACAATAGTTTGCATCAGTAGCAGAAGAGACCCAAATATATATCGCCTACCATGAGCACCCAGCAAATAATTTACAAAGCTAAGACCTATGAAGACATAACAAAAATGTTTGAATGCAGATAGAAAGAGACTATGGGAAAATTGTAAAGGTACATATTGTGCTCATTGTGTGAGCAGATCATACCTCGTTGCATCAAATCCTCCCATATAAGAATATCTTGATGCACTGATTCCTCCATCTGGCCCCTGATAGACATGTGCTCATAAGTCCATGTTAAGGATAATGAATCAAAAGAAGCAAAACGAAACAAAGTAAGACCCACTTGAGCCCGTCGAAGTCCAAATTCAAGTAAATTCTTTGGCTTCCCTGCTACAAGGCGGTGCCTTGCAGCATTTGTAGTAACCAATGAAGCATAGTTCACCAGACTTAAAAATGGAGTTTCAAGAAGTTGGACAACCTGGGACGAAAATTAAAAGGCAAAAGTAAACAAAAAGGTAAATACGACAATATGGATGTTTTTTTTTGCTAACCAGCTCCTGGTACTTACCGCAACAGGTCCTTCGATTATCATCAGTGGAACCTTAGGAAACACAGCAGAACCCTCAGGGATGGCATAAACCTCAACATCTGAGCAGTCAATTGAACTGAGGTACTCGAAGAAGCCATCCTACCAAAATAAAAGTAAGCATACAGGTTTAGTTGCACGCAAAGATGAAAATGGTTATCTAAACAAGAATGAGTTTACTTAAGAGTGACAATTAAAATTATATTTGGATTTTGTTTGCTCATTGGCATTTTGGATGGTGGATGGGTTCAGGGGGCATCCAGAAGGATCCCTTTAGCTTATTGTGAAGTACCCTGATCCTTCCACTTGTATGAGCATTCAACTCAACTAAACCCATTCATACACGAGCATGAGCATGATCTGGATAGAGTGCAGGATTCCCATAAAATGATCCACATTTTTTCTATAACATTGGCATTCCAATAATCCTACCTCACATGTAGGTAGTGCAGCCCGCAGAAAATTGATTTCCTCTTCTTTGAACTTGAAGTTGGCAATAAACCGTATACACTCTTCAAGGCCCCCAAAGACGGTGAACTCACCAGCAAAGGGGCTCTTCCGGAAGTAAAGATCAAAGCTGAAAACAGTAGGTTCACAATAAACAGCAACAAGCATAAGAACATGATAATTCAATTACGCACATGGCTGGCCTCATCCATATGGTTATAATTAACACTGCGGCTATGCTTGATATAACCTCCAGAAACAGTAAGCTTGTAACGTGTGCGTGCGACTGCTTGGTTATAGACTATTTGCATCGGTTTTTAACATTGGCAAGCAAGCTTGATACTTGGTTTACTGCTTGCTTTTATCAACGGTGGGTATCACTGAATCTATACACATATTCCATCAGCATAAGTTTTCGTCTCAGATTCCGCTTAGGCTGCATCAAACATGGTTTATTTATTTCTCCCAATAAAAACGACCGCCAATTTCTACTGTTCTGCAATAATGGAGCAACCGCCAAACTATCCACCACACAAGTTTTATCCATCGAACCTAATAGTCCCTTAAATGGAACACTTGACTAGCAAACTGAATTAACAGAGACATCACACGGGTCCAAATTTGACAGCACGAAAGCTCCCCGGAGCTCGAATCCGGGAGACGGCTGCACAGCACAGATCCTAAACTTCAGCAGCAAACTGGGCCGCCCCCGCGCCTGATTCGGCGGAGCCGGAAACTGCCCACTGTTCCTGAACCGTCACTCCGCCGCGGAGCTCAACAGCAAACGGCGCGTATGCAGTAGAGCGAGCGGGGGTTGGGTGAGTTTGAGGGTGCTTACACGGCGCGGTCGAGGTGCTTGCCGGCCTTCCAGTAGGCGTAGGCCATGGAGAACTGGTAGAGGTCGGTGAGCAGGGGCGTGACCATCGGGTTCGTCGGCCGCGGCACCGCGCCCCCGCCGCCGGCGCGCACGTCCCCGTTCGCCAGCGCCGCCGCGGCCATCTTCCCGAGAGGAGGGAGGGGGCGGAGCTGGAGAGCGGCGAGGTCGGAGTGGAGCGGGTGGAGGAGGGAGGGGAATCTCGCAGGCAGCCGATGGTACTGCGAAGGGGAAACTGGAGAAAGGGGAATCCTATTCCCCGCGCGGGTCGGCGGATAGCGACCAGACGCGCACCCCCACGTACGGTAATATGCCAGCCCATTAGCCTGTTACTGAATTTTTTCTGTCCGTTTTCTGTCTCTCTTTTTGCCTTTTCATTTTCTTATTTTCTTACTAGGAAGAATGCCCGTGCGTTGCTACGGGATGGATGGGCAATGGTTAAAGAGAGGGTGGTGCACAGAGGACTTATGCTGAGTGCAATTTTTCACTACTTTGAGGCATATTCTTCAAGAGTTCATTTACTAATTAAAAGGATTTTCGAAGTAAGAGCACACATGATATTTTTTGTATGACTGTATGACTTCAATGTGACATTGTAGATTAGACCGGTAATATATAGTGACAACAGATATCTCACCAGTAAATTAACCATCATATTGATGATAAAAAAATCATACACACAACTCTTATGTTGAGTTACTGATATCACATGGTAAAAATGTCATATACTTCGCCTAGTGTTCGAGCATGTTGTGTGTGTGCTCACTACGAAGTCCTTGTCGCATAGATGTATAACTTCCTGTGCTATCGCGATATATGTAGGATTTCTCCATCGCAGTTCAACCTTTGCTTCAAGCATGGCAGTATCTTTGATATCTTCTAGGGAAGTTGATCGTTCAGTTTATGCCTCCTTGGTGAATGAAATTAGACTTTTATTTCGTCTTAGACAAACTTGTATTACTCATGTATCGCGTGCCCAAAACAAAGCTAGTGATAGTTTAGCTAGGTTTGCTCGAGTTGAGGGGCGAACTATGACCTGGCTAGGGTCTGAGCCAGAGGAAGTCTTGGGTATTTCCCTTGATGATTGTAAGGACATTGTCATTTGAGTAATACAAGTGTTCCCGCAAAAAAAAGTTCAACCTTTGCTTAGTGTGTTGCGCCTCAGTTTTTGGTTCTTTTGTTTTGGTTGCATATTTGCATTTTTCTGCCTTTTCTATGCACACTTTTTTATCTTCTGTATTGGCTTCATGTTTGTATTTTTTTCTTTTCTTGTGTGTATTTTTTTGCAACCGGGTCAAATTTTTAGTTCTTTTGCTTTGTTGATAGGCTTCACGTGACTTTTTCAGTTTTTCCTATTTTTCTTCATCGTTCATTCATACATACCACTCTTTATCTCCTTTTCTTATTTGTTCTTTGTCATCCATGACTCGAGATTGCCATCCAAATTGCTTTTCTGCATGAGAGTTTTGGATACTATATGAATCTGTTGTTTATTAAAAAAGTTGATAAAAAATTGCATCATAAATTGAGCATATGTAGCGTTTTAATATAAAATTTGCATCATAAATTGAGCATACGTAGCTACTTATAAATAAATCTAATTGCGCTGGACATAAGCATCAGAATATACGTGTTGTTTCCATGCTAGAGTATCATGTTTTTCCTTGAAGCAATTTACATTGCAGAAAAATGATATTAAAGTAAGAGCATTGCTATATACTTCATGTTTTACGTCTGACTTCACTACGAAGTTGTAGATTAGTATGTCGATGAGTAATGCCAAAGCATACCACACCAGCATATTAACCATTGCACGGACATCAGACAATAAAAATGATGTATATGCAATACTTCAAAAGTAATTTTACATCAATGTTTGGGTAAAAAGGATGTATAAGTTGGTTTCCTTGTTCCTCCGTACCACCTTCAACATGACCATATTCAAGGACATCAAGCTTGTCATTTTGTTCCTGATTCGGAACATCAACCTTATTGAGAATGGTTAAAGACTCAGTGGCCATGACATGTAAATGCCTATGTTTTGGTGCCGATATTTTACTATGCACTCGTATAAACTGAAATCAGCAGCGCCCGGAGATAATTTATGTATTTATTTTATTGGTCGTCCAGATATACATGTTACCACCGTGTGTGACATGAGCTATGTAGTCAATATGAGTACGTCAAAAAACACAAATAAATGAAAAGAAAATGTAGAACCAAAACCAATCATGTGCATGTAGAATCAGAGAAGAAAAAAAATGCATGCACGGCCGAGCGATTTGATGGGTAAAGAAGTGTGTCCCTCGTAGTCAGTTCTTTTCTTTCATCTACCTAGTTATTTATATTATCAAATCTAGCTAATCTCTATTTTGGTGAGTGCCCCTGTGTCCAGCCCACTCCGGTGTTCGTTGCAACAACTGTCTATCTGTCCAACACGTTTCGTTTCCTCATCTCTCCCCACGCCTTCTTCTTCTCCCCCATGCTCCCGATTGCCTTCCTCTCTTCTCTCCCCTACTCTCTATCCAACGAGGAACGACACTCCAATCCCTCTCAATGGCCGCCACTGCTTCAAGGCCTCCCCGCAGAGTTCTCGATCCAGATCAGATCGAGGCCACCACCGAGCCCCTCGGCCGCCTCCTCCTTCGTCTTCGCCCTCGCGCACGCCGCCCCACCCCCACCGGTGCTCCAGTGCCTCCCCGCGGTACCTCCTTCTCCCTCTCTTCCTCCCCTACATCTCTGTCCTTTCTTCTTCCCTTGGCAATGAGCAGAGGAAGCACGCAGGGAGCCTCGCTCCTGCTACCACCACGACCTTCGTCGTGCCGCCGCCACCTCCGAGTTCTTCGGCCGTTGGCGAACATCTCCCATGCGACCGCCGCCGCGACCCTATGCCTCGCCTCCATCATATGTGAGGATGATGACGACAGTGCCGCCATCGACCCGTCCCGGGCCGTCCCTCGCCTCGCTCGCGTGGGGCGCACCTGCGCGTGGACCGCCGGTCGGGCAAGCCGCCCCTCGCCGACGGGAGCGCCGGTGCCGCTCGCCTGAAGCATCTGATGGCGGCTGTGACATTGCTCTGATGGTGACCAGGACTCCTCTTTGCGTTCATTCTTATCCCCATCATCTGATTCAATTGTAAATCGTCACTCCGGACGCTGCTGGTTGTGCTAATTCAATTTCTTCGTGAAGGCCAAGGGCCTCGCCAAGCAGCGGGAGGACTTAGCGGGCTAGGCTCGCCCGCCGCAAGCGCGCCTGCGAGCTCGCCCTCGTGCAGGCCAAGGCCACCTCTGGCGATTTCCTGTCCGCCGCGCTCTCTAACACCTCGGCCCTTTCCTGGGCTCGGGCGGCGTGGACGCCCGCCGCGACGCATCACGCCGTCCTTGGCTTCTGCAGCGTGGACGCCAGCGGCAAGCGGCGGCGCGTCCCCGGCGGCGGATGCCGGCAATGGATAAGTGGCGGTTGTGGCCAGTGGTCGCAAGGGGTTTTATGCAAAAACGAAACGTTATCTCATCCAGAACACACGTAAAATCCGACTACGGGTTAATTTCATATAAACCAAGGGGCTTTTATGCAAAATCGCGCGTGACGACTTACATGCAGAAACCCAATTCTCTTTATTATTAGGTAAAGATAAAGATTCTCTGTTCTTTCTTTTTCATGTTTATTTTCCTTGTTATTTCAATTGGCAAGGTTTTTGTGACAATTTAGCGATTTTCAAATTAATATAATTTTTCGAAGGTCTATACTAATTTTTAAATTCGTGCTTTTCAAATGTGCGAACACTTTTTGAAATTTATGGACAATTTTGAAGATCCCAAGAATTTTTTGAACTTCACCAATATTTATTGAAATTTGTGAAATTTTATTCAATATAAAATTTCATATATAATATGTTAAAATCGAAGTTACGGTTTAAAAGATATAGATAATTTAAAAAATCATTCGGTTTGACTCAAATATATTCCAAAATAATATTTAAAATACTTAACAGATAAAAATAATCTCATATTCATATTCTACATATTTTTTAATCAAATTTCATATATAACATGGTCAAATCGGAGTTACGGTTTAAAAGATATGGATGATTTTAAAAAGCATTTGTTTGACTTAAATATGATTCGCGGATGAGTTACCTAAAACATCAGGGGGGATTTCAAAAAATTTAAAATAACGGTTTGGGTGTGACTTAAATCCGGACGGCGGGTTGATTTCAAAAAAAGACAGGGACTTTTGTGTAAAATACGAAAATAACGATTCGTTTTAACTTAAAACAGGACTGCTGGTTGAATTGTCTGAAATAGAGGGACTTTTTTGAAAAATGTTATGACGGACGAAAGAAACCTAATTTGCTTTATTATTAGGTAAAGATGAAGATTTCTTGTCCAGTTTTCCTTGGTTTTCGGTTTTTTCATCATTACTTTGTTCTTTTTGTTTTTCTTTGGTTTCTTTCATGGTTTCCTTTGGTTTTTCTTTTCTTTCTCATTTTTCTTCTTTTTTTCTTTAGTTTTTTGTTACTTTCTTTGTTTCTTTAGCAGTTTTTATTCTTTTACACTTTTTTGGTTTTCTTTTTTTCTTTGCTTTCCTATGTTTCTTTTTTGGTTTTCATTAGTTTTTCGTTCTTCTCTGTTTCTTCTGGTTTTTATTCTACATTTTTGTATACGTTAAGAAATTTTTTCTAATACATGTTTAACATTTTTTTATTCATGGTAGACATTTTTTCTATACAAAATTTTAACATTTTTCATAGGGCGACAGACAGACCACGGCGGTTTGACACAATGGCAAAGTAAGCGCAACAAAGCTATCGAAGATGGACTCGATCAGTAGGCTAGCTTCTTGCACGTCTTCAGTTACAAACACATTTGCCAACATCGAGCTTGTCGGATTCGACGCACTAGTGAGGGGTGGCTATTTCCTCACAAGGAATATGGTACACTATGCGAGCGCTTGTTTCTTTTTGAAATTGTTTTTTTTTGTGGAATTTGCTAAAGTACAGTACAAAATCCACTGGTACTTCACCACTGGCATGTTTACCGGGCTAGATAAATTTGCTGCTACAAGAATGGTGACTGCTGGCGTTATGTCGCACAAAGGTTTACAAGAGCTTACGAAACAGCGCAGCACTGTGCTCTAGCAAAACTGCTGAGGTACATGGATGCGCTGGAGTTCTATTAATTGAGTTGCACCATGGCGCGACTGGCTCACCCGCACTGTCTTTCCATGTGGCCACAACTCCTGTCGCAAGAACATGTGCATGGTTGTGATCTGCAGATGGATGGAACTTCGTGTTCTAATATTTTTGCGAGCATCATATAGCGGATCCTCATGTTTGTATGCTGGGATTTATCGTTGCTTTCCTATGTTGATGGATTGGCGACGGAAACCAAGAGGCAATGAGCAAAGTCTTGTACACCAAAGATTTTTGTAATAAAGAGAAAGCGGCTGAGTCTCTCCCTGTATCTGGTGTTAATTATTGTTATTATGCTCATGACTGTGCTATGTGCTTATGTGCTTGTCTGAATGGCGTGTTTGTTGGCTTATGTGATAGAACTACTTACAATTTTCAAGTGTGATCGGATGACTACGTTTCAGAACAAGTTTTGCAACAACTGTGACATATATCTTGAGTGACCTAAACATGAACTTTCCTCTGCATCACCACTGAAATCCATAAAAAATATGAACAGGAAATTTACAAAAAAATGTGATATATCACAACAAAAGTTACAGAAGTTATTTGCTAATGTCTATAACGTCAGTTATTCATAGTGGAAATATATTTTATGATGAATGTGACAAAACTAATATGATGTTGTATATGTCCGCATATTTTTTCAGCAGACTTGATCAAGGAAAAGAGTTTTGACTTAATACAAGGCTGAAATTTTCAATAAATGTGGTACATATAATATACAACTTCTCACACAAATCATATGATTTCTTACACATTTTCTCTTGAATCAAAATCCATGTGATATTGTGCTTACTGTCAACTGGGTGATAATCTTTTCTTAGATCTATACAGTTAAGTGGGTTTGCCTCTTGGTGTATTTGTAGTTCGCATGACAACATTGAATTGATTTGTTCTATCTCCGTTGGAAATTGAGATACTTTAGGGAGATAAAGAAGATAAAGGCGAAGAAGGCGATGACGACCACGTGAAGGTACGTGATAAGGTTGAAGTAGTGGTCCTCGAGGCCAAGGTAGCCCTCGAGGAACTCCCGCACTGTCTGGTTTGGTTGTCCAGGTACAAGAATTGGCTCTGTCCGATCACCAAGCTGGGAGAACATGAGTCCGTACACCGTCCATGCTGCTGGGTTTGCCCAATACACCCACCTCCACCAGACAGGGATCATCTATGTCCACATTGTTTTTGTTCATCGGGTTAATCATGCACAATCTATCCTCCATTTTTTTGTTTTATTTATTTCTTTGAAGGAAAAACTCTATTTAAAATATGCAACATTGGTTTGTAAGGGTACTATATTAATATGAAGCTGGTATGAAATATGCAATCTATTGAGGGGTTAGTTGGGGATTCCATGACCCTAATTTCCCATGTTCTCTTAAGTATGTATTGTAGTTATAGTGAAAAATATTAGGAGGAGGGGCTGGGTAATAGTTGGTAGAGCGAGGGCCATACCTCTCTTCCGATCATGAAGCCGGAGAAGATGTTCCAAAAGATGAAGATAAGGAAGGACAATCCAGAAGCTATCTCAATGTTCGGTGTTAGTGCCACTGTCATCATCCCGAAGAGTGTGTAGTACATGTAGCTTAGCACCATGTAAAGTAGAAACCAAAAGAACTTATTGGCGGTCATCTGGAATCCAATCATTGTGTATACTATTGTCGCGAATATGAACACTTGGACAAGCATGTAAGGCAATTCAATTGCCACCTGCAGATAGAATTTTAACATCCTAGTTGAAAAAATATTGCCAAGCATTGTAGCTTTAGATTCTTAACTTAATTTTAGAGTGGACGCGTAAAGTATTATTACCTGAGCTATGGCATAGGCCAACGTAGAGTATGTGCCTGCTGCCTTTTCTCGGCAGAGAACAATCCTCTTTGTTGCCACAACCGGTTGTAAGATACAACAGTTGTTGAAGCCAAGAAACAATGCTGATCCGTATATAAGCCCTAGTATGTTGAATATATCTTGTTGTTGTTTACTGTTCCATAGGTAAAGAAAGTTATGACATAGTAGAGGTGTGATATATTTTTCATGAAAGAAATTCCTTAGGTTTTTTCATTCCTACTTACATGGTTGATCCAGTCTGCCAAAATACAATTCCAAACATAATTGATAGAACAAATGTGTTTAGGAATCAAACAACATTATGCTCTAGATTTCCAATATGCACATCTTTGTTTCCATAGGCAAGCGATGCATTGTGCCCTAAAGTTTAGCCAATATCTTGGAGGGAAATTTAGATCTTCTGTGTTTGGCGCTGGTTTTCCAAGCTCTTCAATAAGAAGTTTGTTCTCCCTGAAAGGTAAATATTAATCATATTATACTTTTTATTATTCAATTCAACTTACATCCCAATGGATGTAGCATTATGATTACATCATGTGTACCTATATAGGGAGGAGCTCCGATAAATTTCAGCATAGTCCACTCCAATCTCGTATTCCGTTGTGTGTGAACTGACATCCAACATCCATGATGCTGGGTTTTGTCCATCTTTTATTCTAGGAACACCGGGGATATCCTGTGTAAAGATTTTTTTAATAGTTTTGCTCTCCATCGAGAATGAACAATCAAAATTGGCCAATCTTACCTCAAAATATTTTATCATGTTGCTAGAAAGTCAACCTAGTGAACCACTATATATGATTTGACCACCTCTTTTCATGAGTAGAAGCTGCAATTTATCAAATTTAATTGAGTTAAGGAAGTAAATATCTATTACTTACTAATAATCTTATTGAAGCTTATGTTTAAAAATACATGTAAAAGGACACTTGTTTTTCATTGGCAAGTACTTCTATGCTACTATCAACGCATATAGAAAAGGAAATGTGAGGGCCAATTACACCAAATATTTCACTTTGGCACAAAAACATGGTGGGTTTCATTCCTTGTAATTGATAGGGTAGTTCTATTTTTATTTATTGTTGTTTCTTTGATTTTTCAAAAAATGATAGTTTTTGGTTATGTGTACTATTAGTTTGATGCTCTTTCTAGTCATTGATCTTCAAACCACCTAACTATTCAGTTCTTGCTTGTATTTTGTAGAATTATTTTTGAGACATTTAATAATATGATTTATTCATACCTCATGAAAAGATTCAAATATCTCAATGCTTGGCTGATGAATTGTACAAACAATAGTTCGTCCAGTGTCTACTGTCTTTCTTATTGTCCTCATGACAATTGCCGCAGCACGGGCATCCAAGGCAGTGGTCGGCTCATCCATAAATATAATGGAAGGGCTAGAAACAAGCTCCACAGCTATTGTTAGCCTTTTTCGTTGCTCAGCTGACAGGCCAGTTGCTCCTGCCAGACCCACCATGGTATTCTTCAGTCCTGTTAACTCAACTAGATCCATGACTTCATCTATAAACATTTGAAACAAATTTAATGGCATGTATTATGAGATATCATGTTATAGATTAAACTTCTAATGGTGTTAACAATCATACATACATCTCTTTGGCACGATTTAACTTTTAAAGGCAAGCGAAGCCACGCAGAAAACTGCAGTGACTCATATACAGTGAGATTAGGGGAGTGGATATCACTTTGTTCACAGTAGCCAGAGATCCTTGAAAATGTCTCCTGCTTCTTTGCATATCCTTCCATTGTGATAGTACCTTCAATATATCCTTCAGTTTTTCTTCCAGCCAAAACATCGAGCAATGTTGTCTTTCCAGCACCGGTGATTCCCATCAAAGCTGTTAGCACCCCTGGTCTGAAAGCACCACTAACATCTTGTAGCAACTGAAGCCTTTTATCGGTCACTCCATACTTCATCATCTCCTAGTGTAAGATATGGATTCATATAGTGAACATGTGACTAGATGGATGCTACTATTTAGTTAAGTAAGTTCTGTTTGAGAGTATACCTTAGTTAAGTAAGTTCTGTTTGAGAGAATCCAAATAATACAGTGACACAAATCCAATACCAGTGCCAATCTGTGAGCAACCCCCTGATCTTGAGGATAGCATCACCAACGGTATTAGCATTTTCGTAATGAAATTCCTGTCACAAGAGGATATCATCATTAGGTCACATCTATGCTATACATGGTATACATCGTATCCAAAATACTAGATGAATGATTGATTACCGTGGCCCATCTTTCATCAAGGAACTCATTTAGGGAGATTGCATTTTGTGCATAGGTGAATGGGGATGCCCAGTATCCCCATTGTAACCATTGTTGGAGATCGTCTATTCAATGTAAGAAGTTTATGAGAATCTTAGAAGCTTACTATGCACACATGTATTGTGTTATAGGTTTTCCATACATCTTACTTAAATTAAGCTAAATCGCATCCAACCTTTTGAAATGACGATGCCTCCAAATATGAAGATTGCTATAAGAGATGTGGTGGCAAGCACGTTGGCCATCACTAGTGTCCTTGCTACCGCTGCTAATAAACGATACATGCCCATTGACATTTGATGCATGGAAAAAAGTACCAAGAAATGCTTCATGAATCTACAAAAAGTAATTAAGGCAATCATTTTCTATCACTACAACTTATTTAAGCTACTGCGATAACCTATATATTGAATTGACCAAGAGGAGATGTACCTAATAAAGGAAGGTGCGTAGCCAATCACATAGTAGGTTATGATGGTCCAAAGACTTGTTTGTACAAAAGATATTGGGATACTAAGAAGAAAACTTGGAGTAAGGATTGCCCATCCCAGCAATGCTAGAAAGTCTCTTTGCTTGTAGAAAGTGGGAAGTCGCTTTATTGTCACAACAATTTCAGCCATACCATTGAAGTTTACTATCATAACAGCCAAAAAGAGAGCTCCGATATACTTATTCGCATCAATAATAGATTTGTGGTTCATATTTGTTTGAAGAAAAATGGTTGATATCACCAAAGCAAGGATTGTTATCTGTATGGTCGTGAATATTTGTAGCGGGGAGTTTATTTTTAGAAGAAGTACTTCCCTTGAAAAGCATACCTTAAAAATATTCCATTTGGAGAGACCTGAACTAGTTTTCGCCTCCTTTATCTCTACTCTATTGTTTAGAACAAATAGTTTATCTTGTACAAGTCGAGGAAGATATGATGAATAGAAGGATTCTGCAAATTTTTCAATTGGATGGTAGTGATACATATGTTCCTCACCAATCCAGTATTGCTTTTGGTCCATCTTTGAGGTCACCTGGACATATGGAATTTTTTGTTAGTTTATTACTATATGTTATTATGCACAAGTACACAATATAATAATGAATTTGTGGATGGAATTGTGACTCAATGCCTGCCACAGTTCGTACCTTTAATGTACTAGTCGTCCCAAAGTTATTCCAAATAGTAATTTGGCACTGATAGTTAAATCAACACTAATGTTTATCTAGTAATTCCTTCATAAATTTTTTTAATGTAGTACCTCTTGAAGGAAATCAGCCATGTCTTTCCTGTTGGGGCATGTGAATCCCATGAACTCAAAAGAAATCAATAGCTTTTTCTCGAGGACCATGATATACAATTTGACCCTCGCATAAAAGGATTATGTCATCAAATAATTCCAATGTCTCGGGAGGTGGTTGAAGCAAGGAAATAACCACTGTGAGATCCATTAAATGAGCCATTTGTTGTATAACTTTTATTATCTCATATGTCGTGGTGCTATCAAGACCAGTTGAAATATCATCCATAAAGAAGCATCTTGCTAGACCAACTAGCATCTCTCCTGCATCAAGGAGTTCATCATGAAATGCAACAACAATAATACATTCACAAATAAGTGATTAATTAGGACATCAATATTGTATTTGATGACATTGGCACTGGCACCATGTAATATGCTTTTGTTCTACATAGTTGGCACCATGTAATATGCTTTTCTTCTACATAGTTGATTAGCTGGCATACTTTTTTGTAGAATGGGTTAGTTGGTGTTATTAACATGTTGTTCAGTGAATATTATAGTTATATGTTACAAATCCACTACATTTTATGAGCACCTTGCAGTAGTCTAAGTGATTCTCAATTCCATCAAATAAGAGAAAAGGTTCATTCTGGTCATGTCGAGTTTAGTATGAGGTCAATGTAGAACTCCAATACCATTTATTTGGAACCCTCGAATTTTAAGATCAGATTCTTTTGAATACTAAGATGTTTTTAAAGGGGATTGTGTGGATGCGGCATACGTGCGGAAAGTTTTGTGATGTCACACATGATGTGGTAGAGAACATATTATCGACGATGTTCACAAAGTACTTAATAACAGTATGTTGGATGCACATTTATTTGGATGACAGGGGCCAACTCGCTATAGTTGGAGGTGGATGATCTAGACAGGATGTCTAGATTGGATCTACTAATGAGCTATCATAACCTTCTAGTTTTTTTACAGTTAAAGTAGTCATGCGCCCATCCTATAAGGCCCATATATGGAGGTGTTGGTCGGTGGCCGCCGTCCTCGGTCTTGATCTTCTTGGCATACAAGTTTTTGACTTCACCCTGTTTGGTAGTGGCATGACTCCTTTTGATGTAACATGTGGGTGGTCCACCTAGGGGAATTGGTTGCCCACGCAACCCCCCGCCCCTCAGGTGTGCCACATGAGAGGGGATGAATATGGGCCATAATATGACACACGCATCATAGGTAAGTGTTGATGCCACTTCCTCTTGACACATATAAATACCAAAATTCCTAATTCAGAAAGAGCATGACTTTTTGGCGGCCACCTACTAAGAATATCACTAGCGGGCCCTTTCAGACATGTCCCAAGTTTTGTTTTAAACTAACCAATTCCCCCGTAAGAGAACTTCCATTTTTGGACCCCATTTATTGCCTTTTTGGAACTTTGGAAAAGCTTGAAAACTTCAGATTTTTTCTAACATAGGGAATTTCAAATTATGAAAATAGGGGATTTCAAATTTTATGAAGATCATAAAATTTACACGAAAAAATACATGGCGGGCTCCCATAGTTGTATCCATGTGATAACAACGCAAAACATGATGGAAAAGCTAGTAGTCACCTAGTTTGGTCGGAGAGTGATTTAGTAATGGGAAGGTGAATGTGGACATGAACCACTCACCCTGTAGCCGTTTCATTTTAAAAGAGTTTAAAAATTATTCTAGAATCTGGACATT